CAAAAAACAATATTTTTCAATAGTTTCCAATACCATGGAACTTGTGCAGCCATTATTGCATTGAATATGGCTGTAAGTTGTTGATGGTGACCAAAATAGCATCTCTGGTTAGTTTTTAACGAGATTTAAAGCCTTTGGTTAGCATCAAAGGATACTGTTCCGGGAATCAAATTTATTTTCACGTCTTCGCCACTCAGCCTTTTCTGGCAAAGTCGAACAACATCGTCAACGCCAAGCTTCGCTGGCACAAATGCCTTGCTACGCCAGATGGGCAACGTTCACCCATCCATGCCTTCCAGGCCACTACTCTCATTGTTTATCCCTAATAATTCCCTTTAATTTGGATTCATGGGCTTGTGTTGATTTGTAATGACATCAAGACACTTATGAATATATATTCAAATATTCTAAGCGTAAAATATAAGTATATGCAACAAAGGAAGCAACTCCCTTGCGTATTGAAGGGGACGATGTGGATGAATGTTCATTGCTGCTATTGGTTTGTTGGCCATGGCAAGTGCCAATATATTGTTACTGTATATGGCTGGCATTGCATCAGAATAAGGAACAAGTGATATGGGTGTGTGCTACGATATCATTGTCCTGACCCAAGCATTTCTAGTTGACGATACCTACTAACACGTAAGACATAGAAAATATGTGTTATGGGTCAAGATTACCGGTGATTGGTAATTTTGTCTCTTTGTATAGAAGAATGATAATGTGCATGACCATTAGTCATGTTATATAAGTATTGCAGGGTCAGCCATGAATAGCTTCACTATAGCTAGAGAGACAACAGTGGTTATTTTCGTCCATGGTTAAAGTGTGAACTATGTGGAATCGGAGAGCACTCCCACTAATCCACCAAATCACGAAGGGTAAATCTCACTAAAGCAGACTCCGCCATTGTGATGAATATGAGATGGAGAGAGGTGGAGTTGTCCATGGAAGGGGGACGCCAACTACATCCATGGTCTCTGATACAATAAGGTGTGATACCATTGACAAACGTTGGCCCTTCTTGTCGTACTTGCATTGTTATAGGGTGGTCCTAGCAATGTTTTTAAATCTGAATCGAAGGTCAAACCGTTTTGACCTTCGGTTCATGGTTTGAACGGTTTAACCAGTTTAACCGGTAAAACCGTTGGGTTGATCCAAATACTATAAATATATTATTTTGCAAAACATTTCACGCGGTGTTCGTTTGGTACAGTGGTCGGAGGTTGATTCTTTATGTGAAAGATCACAAGTTCGAGTCCGCTTGAGAACAAACTTTAATATAATTGTGGTTTTAAAAATTGAATAAATAGATTGTAAAGGAAAAATTGCAAATAAAAGGTTGCATCTCAAGTGGAAGAGTCTTTGCTCTATGACATGGAGAATGGGTGTTCGAATCCCATGGCTGTTATCAATAATTTGGTTAAAAGCTTTGAGAGTTCTATTAGATAAATAAAATTCCAAGCACTTATGGACACAGTTATCGCATTGTTGTGGTGGCAAAGAATCGGAATAAGAGCTTGAAGGTCATAGGTTCAAGCCCCGTGGGAGACAAATTTCTCAAGATTTTATGCCCAGCATTGAACCATCTGGTCGAATAGTTTACTGGTTTCAACAGTTTCAATGGTTCTTATTGGTTTCAAACGATTTAACGGTTTAATCGGTTTAACTGTTCAAGCGATTTAAAGGGTGCACCCGAACCGTTTATACTACCGGGCACCATTCCGACTTGCTGATTCGGTTTGATTTTTAAAACTATGGGTCTTGGTTTTTGTTGCCCGTCGAGCACCGCATCACCATGCACGGGCGACCACCAAGGAACCGCTGACTGCTGCTTGATGGATTATTATCACTGGAGGGTAGCCATCTTGTTCGATTGTAGGGTTGCAACTGTTACCGGCCTCACGCTAATCGTACCAAGTTGCATTAACTTTTTGTCCATTTTTGGGAGCTAGTGAGATAGAATGTGTAAAGATCTAACCCTTTATCCATTGTCAGGAGCCAATGTAATGAAGATATGTAGAAATATGTAGCATTTTACCCATTGTTGAAGGCTAGATGAAATAATGAATGTGGCCCTTTGTCCATCACCGAGAGCTATGTAGATGTGGTCCATTGTCTGTTGATGGGAGCCATGTATATATAGCGAAGTCAACTCTTATCCATTGTTGGGAGTCACAAGATGTAGCAATGAATATCGCTGCAGCAGTGAATATCGCTGCAGCGGACATGATTGTCAAAAATGTCCAGCCATATCACTAAAATAGATTTAGCCATGTCTGGCCATATATGTGGAAATAGATGTTGGGGTGGGCTACATTCTACAATGTTTCTAGTGAAGTGAATAAGTATCGTTTCTAGTGATGTTGATTCCATTGCAGCAATCAAAAGAAAATAGGAATTGCATGTCTAATGTGGAAAATAAGTGTTGTGGGCCTTTGCTGATATGGACCCGTACACGTCATTGGTTTCGCAACCATACAAATTCATTCCTCAATAGTGTTAAGATGTGAACACAATTATTCATATTGTATTCATAATTATTGTAAATATTTATATTTTAGAATATTCTTTTTGTATACTTTATACTTTGAATATTCTCTTTGTAAACACCTATATATAGGTCATTGTAAATATAATATCATTCAAGAAAGCAATAAACCTTTCTTCAAATATTTCTTCTCCTTTCTATTTCTAACATGGTATCAGAGCCATAAGCTCTTAATTCGTCTTTTTTTTTTTTTATCATTTTTGTTTGGTTTTTTAAGTTGGATGTTTAAATCCATTCCAGATCTGAAACTCTATCGTTGGGATCTCTTCTTCTACAAATTGAATTGTTTATTCTCAAGCCTTTCCTAAGATATTTTTGTTGAGTTGTTATTTTGATCTTGGCATCTATTTCTTCATATTTTTTAGAGTTTTTTTTTTTTTTTTTTTTTTTACTGATTCTATAGCGAGTTTTGAAAGGACTATAACTCATCCTGCTACTGCTATGGTTGCCAAAGAATTGATAAACCAACCTAATGTCAACCTTGAATCCTTAAAACAGGTGATATTAAATCTTTTAAATACTTCTACTACCTTATCTATTGCTCTAGGTACTAAATCTTGGTATTTTTATCTATTGCTCTAGGTACTAAATCTTGGTATTTTGATCTGGTTGTTGTAACCATATGTCTTCAATTACTACTCATTTCTCTTCAATGCCACCAAATAATTCCTTTCCTGATATTTATTCTGCTGATGGTTCCCCTATGACTCTTAGTTACATTGGCCATATTTCTACAAAGTCATTGACTTTATCAAATACTCTCTTAGTTCCAAAACTTAGTTATAATCTTCTATTTGTTGGTCAATTATGTGATCTTGGCCTTGAAGTAACATTTTTTGCTCGTGGTTGTCATGTGCAGAATCCACTAATAAGACAACTTATTGGAATTGATCGCAAGGTGGGGCGTTTGTTTGAACTCAATTATTTGCATATTTCACATCATAAAATAGATACATCATCATTTCTAAATGTTCATTTCATCCAAACCTTACTTTGTGCTGTTGAATTAGAGTCTTGACAAATTCCATACCAGCAAATTTTGCAAGCTTGCGTTGCTACTAACATTTCTCCTTTCCAGTTGTGGCACTCACGACTCGAACATACCTCAGTTGGTAAACTTCATCCACTTATCTCTTGTGATTTATTAAGATTTGTTCCAAATGAATCCTTGCATTGTGTGTCATGTCAATCTACAAAGCAACTAGCTTTATCATGTTCGAGTAGTCATTCTCATTCTACCACTCCTTTTGATCTCATGCATTCTAATGTTTGGGATCCATCTCCTACACCCACCATGGGGGGTTCTAGGTACTTCATGTTATTTATTGATGATTATACTCGTTTTACCTAGATATACATTATGAAAAATTGCTCTGACTTATCACAAATTTATATTGATTTTGCTACCATGGTCAAAACTTAGTTCTTTGAAATTATCAAAGTTTTGAGAACTAATAATGCTACTAAATATCTTGGTACTAAACTTCAATTCTTTTTGAAAGAATAAGGTACACTGACACAACAATCTTGTCCTTGCACTTTTGAACAAAATGGGTAAGCCAAATGCAAACACAGACACATTCTTGATTTTGTGTTCTGCTCATTTCATCTTGTTGTCCAACGCAATTTTGGGGCGAAGTTACTCTTACAACCGTTTATCTTATTAATCACATTCCATCATCAGTCCTTAAAAACCAGTCTCCACATGAGCATTTACATGGTATTCTTTTTACCAATAATCTTCTTAAGGTTTTTGGTTATGCATGTTTTGTTCTTCTTTCACCCCATGAACCTAACAAGTTAGAGCCTAGAGCTCAATTATGTTGTTTTCTGGGTTATGGGATTATACAAAAAGGATATCATTGTTGGGTTCATGTATCACAAAAACTCCAAGTTTCACGTCATGCTGTCTTTTAGGAACACATTATGTTCTCATCATTGTCAAACTTCAAAGTGTCATCCTTTCATCAACCTCCATTTTTTACTGATCCTTTTATTGAGCTTTTTCCTAGTGATTTTGATGCAAGTACATCTCGAGCTCTACAATTCCTCACCACATGCTTCAACTAATTCTGTAAAAGATGATCTGCTTGTTGGTAATACATTAGATAATTTTGAGCCTTCTTATACTTTCTTTTCTATATCACCTGTTGATGTTGCATTTGATATTGTTGAGTTTACAAATGAGCTTGTTTTCCTATCCTCAAGTCATCCTACTTGGGTAAGAAACCCTCTTAGCTACCTTTATGATTAGCATTGTTTTCCTACTATTACTTCTTTACATGAGCTTCAACCCTATCAAGAGGCCTCTTTTAACCCTTTTTGGTAACAAGCTATGCAAGATGAATTAAAGGCTCTTGAGAACACTCATACATGGGATTTAGTTGATCTCCCTGTTGAAAAGTCTCTGATAGGCTATAAATGGATGTACAAGATCAAAACATGATCTAATGGTTCTATGAAACGTTATAAGGCAGGTTTGGTTACCAAGGGTTTTACATAGGAGTATAGAATAAACTATAAGGAAACATTTGCTCTAGTTACTCATCTCACATCTATGCACAGCTTGCTTACTATCGCTGCTATACGGAGATGGAAATTGTTTCAGATGGACATGAAAAATACTTTTCTTAATGGTGACCTAGAAGAAGAAGTTTATATGAAACCACCTCCTAGGCTCAACCATCCTCCAACCAAGGTATGTCGATTGCGACATGCATTATACAGGTTGAAGTAATCCCCTCAAGCCTAGTATGCAAAGTTTAATGCTACTGTGAGTGAGTTTGGTTTTACTTCCAGTCCACATGATACAGCTCTGTTCATTTGTAAGACTGCTCAAGGTATGGTTTTTTTATTTCTTTATGTTGATGACATGATTATTACTCGAGATGATGTCGCATGTGTTGAGGAGCTAAAACAATCTCTCAGTCAAAAATTTGAGATGAAAGATCTTGGTGTTTTGAGCTATTTTCTTGGGCTTAAAGTCACCTCTTTAGATGATGGCTATCTGCTTTCTCAAGTAAAGTATGCCTCCAATCTTGTTTCTAAAGCTGAACTCAATGATAGTAATAGTGTTTCTACAGCTTGTAAACCTAATCTCAAGCTTATACCTATAGATGGCTCTCCACTTTCTAATCCTTCTCGCTATCAGCAATTGGTTGGTAGTCTAGTTTATCTTACCACAACACGCCCTGACATAGCATATGCACTTCACATTGTTAGTCAGCTTATGGCTGCTCCTCACTTCACTTGTTATACTGCAATGCTTTGCATTATTTGCTATATTAAAGGAACATTGTTTCATGGACTCCATTTTTCTACCAACTCCTCTCCTGTGCTTCGCGCTTACTCTGATGCTGATTGGGCTTGTGATCCTTCTAATCATAGATCTACCACTAGTTACTATCTTTTCCTTGGTAATTCTCTTATCTCTTGGTGGAGTAAGAAACAAACTATTCCATCTCACTCTCTTGCTGAAGCTGAGTATATAGCTCTCGGTGATATTACATCAAAACTTCTTTCATTACGGTGGCTTCTTGAAGATATTGGCATTCCTTAACCTTCTTCTATTGAGTTATATTGTGATAATCAAAGTGTTATGCAGATGGCTCATAATAATGTCTTTCATGAACGCACTAAACACATTGAGGTTGATTGTTACTTTGTTCGCCATCATGTTGCACAAGGAACTATTCATTTAGTTTTCATTGGCTTCGCTGATCAATCAGCAGACCTCTTTACCAAGTCTCATTTTCCTATATGCTTTTGTACTCTTCTTTCCAAACTCAAGGTGGTTGTGATATTTCCAAACTCAAGTTGGTTTCATCACAATCACCTTGAGTTTGAGGGGAGATATTAAGATGTGAACACAGTTATTCAAATTATATTCATAATTAGGATAATGATTGCTACACCTTCTGGTTCAACACAATGCACAACACATTCTAGTTCAACCATTAAAATTTGCCTTTCGAAATTTTCCCACCATGAATTCAAATTGGAAAATAATATTTTCTTAATAAGTGTGTTGTAAAGTGTATTGAACCGGAAGGTGTACCAATAATTTTTCTCATAATTATTGTAAATATTCTATACTTTAAAATATTTTCTTTCTATATTTTATAGATTAAAATATTCTTTTTATAAATACCTACATATAGATCATTGTACATACAATATTATTTAAAAAAACAATAAACCTTTCTTCAAATATTTCTTCTCCTTTCTATTTCTAACAAATAGTTACAATTATCAATTATTTTTATTAATCAAATTAAATAAAATCAAAATTTTTAAATATAATATTTTATAATATTTAGTGATCTTAATAGTTTTGGCAGTGATCATGACCCTACCCAATTACTCTCCACAATCCCCTCCTTACACAAACCACACCTCACCTCCTCCTCATGTAAAGTCACATCCCTTATGCTCTAAATAATAAAATTTGATTTTGATAATAAAAAAATTATATAATATTTTTTAATAATTTTTTAATAAAAACTTTTTAAGAAAATTAATTTCTTTGGCAGTGATCATGACCCTACCCAATTACTCTCCACAATCCCCTCCTTCC